TTTTCTTTTTTTTTTTTTTTTTTTTTGTACCGGGGATTGGGCCTTTGTGCTTGCGAGGCAGGCACTGGAACCACTGAGATAAATCCCCGGCCCTGGGTTTACTTTTCTACCCGCCAAGCAGAAACCTCTTTTTCCTAACCACCCCCAATTCTCCGCCTCAGTGACTGCTGTATTATTAATGTGTGCTGTTAATGTGCGTGTGCAGGGACTGCTCTTCCTTCATTCCTCTGCTGTGGAAATCCATCCACTTCCTGCTGCTGAATGTTTCATGGGATGGGATGGTGGGAAGTGGGGTTGTTTTTGGATGTTAGACACAGAGGGACACAGGCCACTGCACCTCACACTCTCTCCCAAAGCCTCTCTCCCAGCAGTGACAGGGATGTGGGCAACTTGTTTGCTGTACTCAGGGAAGGGAACTCAAACTGCTTATTGCCCAGAGTATTTCAGGTACTAATGCTAAAGGACCTCTTCTCCTGCAGTAAGCTGCCTAGATTACCAGGGTCAGCCTTACTGCCTTTCTGGTTTACTCACTGGCCACGTTAAGTGGCTAAAAGGCTGTCAGAGCAAGGTGGCGAGGTGACTCTAGTCCAGTGGCCTACAGGATAGGGAGACTGAGAACTAGGAGGGACTGACTGCAAGGCCCCGCTGCCCTTGCTGCTCCTCCATCCATCGTGGGGACCAAGACGGTGGGAACTGCACTTCACAGGTGTACTGGGTGCAGCCATCTTTAACTTTTGAGCATGGAAATCCTGCCTCAGACTGACTCATCTCTCCCACAAAGCAGAGTGAGCAGAAGAATTTCATTATCAGAATAGGCCAGTTTAAAGAAGGAAAAATGCTGGTGTGGTGGCCCATGCCTGGTAATTCTGGTAGCATGGGGGAGGCTGAAGCAGGAAAATCACAAGTGAGCCCAGCCTGGGCAGTTTAGCAACTTAGTGAGACCCTGTCTCACTATGGGACAGATTTCAATGTGAAGGCTCTGGGTCCAACTGCCAGCAACTAACACTCACACACACACACACCCAAAAACAGAAAAAAAGAAACACTCACAGGGCTCTGTCGCTACCACCTAGAGTGGCAATGACCGCTGTACCTGTGGTTGCTGTGAACACCGGCATGTGTGTGTGTCGGGGGGAGTGGCAAAGTGGACCCCATAATTTAGGCACTGCTGGGCCTGGTTCCACCTTGGCAGTGGCAGCACACTTCCTTCAGTGTGCCTGAGAGTCTGAGGCCAGCAGGAAAGCTGCCCTGCCACCGTGATGCTGGGTGAGGGGCCGTGTGAGGGCAGGTGCAGCACTCTTAGCCACAGTGGCTGAGAGGAAGTCACATGACTCAAAATGAAAGTCAGACGGAGCACAGAAAAAAGATTAATGGGAGCTACCTAGTTGGTGGGGCTGCAGGTACTTAACTACTTAAAATGGAACAACTACTACTTTTTTGTGTGTGCTGCTTGGGCCTCACACATGGTAGGCAAGCACTTTACCACTGGGCACTTCACCACTCTTCTTTTGAGACAGTCTCACTAAGTTGCCTAGGCTGGCTCAGCTTTCCAAACTGCTGGGATTATAGGTGTGTGCTACTGTGTCCAGCTATCTTCCACATGCTGTATGATGAGCATTTTAAACAGAAATATAAGTTATCCTTAGTGTTTTTTTTTTCCTCTGTAAAAACAAAACCCAAATACTTGCTTTGTTGGTGCCTGACTCAGGGCTGGGGTCTGCCCCATAAGAGGAACCATTGCCCCACCTCAGTATGGCCAAGGTGGCTCTTGTGTCCCCTGGGCCCCACTTCTTATTCTGAAAAACTTCAAACCCTCAGAAACACTGAGAGAGGAAGACCATGAATGTTTGAATATCCTTTATCTGCATTTTCTCACTAACATTTTGTGGCATGTTCCCTCTGTGAGTGTGTGTGTGATTTTTTTTTTATTCCCTGTTTTTCTGAGACAGAGTCTCCATACGTAGTCCAGGTTGGCTTGAACTCACAAACTTCCTGCTTCAGCCTCCTGAGCGCTGTAATACAGGTAATGTGCCACCACACCTGGCTGTGTGTGTGTAATCTTTATATACAGTATAACCTTTTCTGTTTCTGAATCATTTGTAGACATCATGAACTTCCGTTCCTAAAAAATCCAGCATGTTCTTCCTCTTAAGGACACAAAAACACTTTCCTACAGAATTACAGTTCCTCTGTCGCTTGTAAGGAACTTGATGCTGATTTGCTAATAATAAGTTTAAACAATACTACACCCACTATTCACAATAAAATTTCCTTAATTGTTTCAACATGTCCATTACGGCTACTTTGGTTCTGGTTCACTTTCCCGCTTTGGCTTCTGTGTCTGGCAGACACAGGGGCCTTGGGCTTGCTCAAATGACTGTACACCTTGGAGGGAGCCAGGCCAGCCGCTGCCAGGCCCTGCTCTATCTTCGGTATGTCCCATATGAGCTCCAGTGAGCAGCCTTGTCCCTGCAGGGTGCACCGGGTGCGTAAGGCCTCAAAGGCCCCATGTCCCTCAGAATCTAGGGCTGTGACTTCTTCCCACAGGCAGAGGAAGGGAGCTTCTGTACGCCTGGTGCCGGTGAGGACTGGGAGAGGCTGTGGCCAGTGGGAGGTAGTACGCAGACAACAGCTGCAGCACAACCTGTGCTCAGCATTCTGGAAAGTGTTTCTGTCATTTGTGGAGAAGGCAGTGGAGACCTGACCATAGACTGAAGTATTTGGCCAACATGACAGAAATTATCTGAGCATCTGCAACTCAGAAGCAAAGGGAACCCTGGACCATTCTCCTTTCTTCACAGACCTCCTTAGGACCTCCTAAGGCAGCACTTGTTCCCAGTGTTGGAATGCTTTTAGGGATCCACACGCAAATCCTGAAGCAATCCTTGGGTCAGTACCAGGACGCCTCTGTAGGGACACCTGGCAGGCAGCACCCTGAACCCAGCCTGAGAGAGGACACACAGACTCCCAGACCACCAATCAGTGCACTCAGTGCTGGCCAGGGGAGTACACATGAGGCCTGGCACTGCAGATGGGTGGAGCAGGAAGGAAGGGGGCTTTCTAGGACACTGTAGAGAGCTGGCCTGGCCCAGGGGATGAATGCACACAGGATGAGAAACAGGCCGACACGCTTTTTCGTTTGCCAAGTTATTAAAGGGGAACTGGAGCAGGCAGGGCAGAGGAAACTAGAAACAGGCTGCACAAGTCATCTTTATGAATAGGCACATGCAGGGCACAGGAGACCACCCAAAGCCTCCCCCGGCTGGCCTGCAGGCTGACAGTTAAGGCTGTTGATGGAGAGGGCACACTCAGGCCCAAGCCCAGGGAGGCTTTGTCAAAAAGGTATTATCATGTTCTGGGGAAGTTTCTCATTCAAAAAGGGGAAAAGGGAGACAGTGGGCACCTGAGGTCCCACCCTGGACAGGAGGGGACCAAGCCCAGGGCAGCACAGCTCACAGCGGTGTCACCGCCTTGCTGCTGAGGCCTGCCCGGATCTCAGCCCCCATCTGGTCACTGTCACTGAGATGCAGATGTCCCACTAGAACTCTCCCCGGTTCCACTCCTCCAATGTCACTGTACCCAGACAAAGCTGCCAGAGCCCTGGGAAATCAGAAGACTGAATGAGCGCCAAGGGAGACCGGTGATGGAGGAGCTCTCCACATGGAGACCTTTGCTTCTCAGTAGAGCTGAGCAGCCATACTTCCTAAGCCCTGGAGCAGCGAGGCTCCCATGTCAGGCTTAGCATATATCCAGGCCAGTTTTGGAACCAGTTCTTTTTTTGTTTTGTTCTTTTTGGTACGAGGGATTGAACCCAGAGGCACTGAGCTACATCCCCAGTCCTTTATATTTTGAGATAGGATCTCACTAACCTGCACAGATTGGCCTTGAAGTTACAATCCCTTGCCTCAGCCTCCCAAGTAGCTGGGATGATTACAGGCATGCACCATTGAACCTGACATAGGATTGGGTTTTATTTGGGTATAGGGGAATGAACCCAGGGCCTTTGCACTGAGCTATATACCCTGCTTCTTTTTAAAGGAACTTTTTCAGAGACAAGGTCTCATTAGGTTGCCCAGGTTGGGCTCCAAATTACAATTCTCCTGCTTCAACTTCTGGGACAGCTAAGATTATAGGTGAATACCACCCACCTGGCTGCACCCATTCCTTAACAGTAAAAAGTTCTCTTCAATGAACAAACCTATCAAACAGGCAGGCTGATCGGGTCCATCCCTAAAGAGTAACTTGGTTCCACTGCCTATCCACGAACGTAGCCCTGTTCCCTCCTCCCTGACCCTGGAGTCCAGGCAACCCATCTACTGTCACCAGGCCTTGGCAGATTCTGCTCCATGTGAGGACTTCTTAGAGAAAAAGAGCAAACAGACAATGCCAAGCTGCTTCCTAAAACCTAAGTAAAGCTTTCTGCAGGGAATACCTCAGCCTTCTTCACATGAGCAAAACCCAAAACTCTTTTTTTTTTGGTACCAGGGATTGAACTCTGGACCTTGTACTTGTGAGGCAGGCGGAGGAACCACTGAGCTAAATCCTCAGCCTCCAAAACTCTTGCCATGAAACAAATACACCAAGGTACTCTTTCAAAATGCCTGAAGCGACTCCTGTGGCTGGTCCTTGGGCTCTGGGTAGGGCTCTGTATTCTGCTGTCTGCCAGCTGGGAGATCAGAGGGGGCACACACTCTCAACCTTAGCTTTAGATGGTCTTTCCCTGTCTTCTACCTTACCAGAGGCCAACCGTCGTCAACCCTCCTGAAGACCCTGCCATGACCACGGGACTCACCCACCTCTCGTTTAGACTTCTGAGAGGTCCTCTCGAGGATGTCGTCGCTGGAAAGGTCCGAGTCCTCTGAGAAACTCAGCTGGCGCCGTAGCTGCAGCTCTAAAGGGGAAAAGAGGCCACATGAAGACAGCAGCCAGCATCAGTGTCTACACCCCTGTGAGCAGCTGGGGAAGGTGTGAGTGTGGGAGCTGACCCCTGTCCCACCGGGGCAGGACAACACTAAACAGATGGCACCCAGACATCCTGGAAGGACTGTCCTCTGCTCACTACAATCAGGCCCACCTTTAGTGTAACGTGACTTTAAGAAGGGCACCAACCTCCAGATGCCCCACCCCAGTTTCAAGCTGGCTTTAGCGTCATTTTATGGAGAGGGACAATGTTCTGGGCACCTGTGCTTTGGCTCCCATCTCATTTAAGAACCCTTGGTGGAGCAGGACATGAAAAACGGGTCTTCTGAGAATGACAAATGACCAGAGGATGCACTGCTCATGCCATGCTGGGAGGTTGCTCGGCTGTGGACATACCTGCTCTCACGATAGGAGACATCCTGTGCCTGCCGGAGTCCACGGTGGCACCGCTGGATGCAGTGCTGGAGCAGGACTTTTCATCGCCCTTCTTCTTCTTGTCCTTCTTGTACCCAGAGAAGACGGACTTCCACAATGACTTGGGCTTGGCAGCCACCTCATCCAGGAGGCTGGGGCTGGCTTTCTCTGGGGGCCGGCTCTCCCCTTTGGACTTCTTCTCTTTTTTGTTTCTGCGGGGAGAGAAGAGGGACGACCTCTTTTTGCTCTTCCCACTGGAGCCCTCGGAGGAGGTAACAGAACCATCCGGGCCCCCTGAGTCCGAGGGAGGAGACAGGACCTCCTCACTGGTGGCTTCATGCTTCAGGGTGGGCTCCTCAAAGCCTCTGAGACCTGGGCATTTGGGAGACTTGTGTTCTTTGCCCTGGGAGGGCACTGAGGACACCCTGCGGGACCTGGAAGCCCCGGATGCCATCTCCATCTCCTGCATGCGGCTCAGCTGCTTGGCCATGGCATCTCTCAGAGCCTGGCTCTTCACAGACTTCTCCCGGGCTCTCATGCGCTCCTCGGCCAGCTCCTTGGCTTCTGGGGAGACCCAGGGCAGCCCCCTCTTCTGCAGCTGAATGCTGCCCTCCAGAGCAGGCAGCCTCCCATTCTCCTTGGCTGGGGGCGGGTGGAGGGGCTTTTCTGGGCGGGACCAGCAGGAGGGGGGCGTGAAGAATTTATCCTGCAGACTGGAATCCTCGGTCTTGTCATCGTACGTGTCCTCCACGTCATCAGCATAGGGGATCTCCTCTACACTCTCCACAAACGACTTCCGCACCTCCTCCCTGGGGGGCTGGGCAGGCTCTCGAGGGGGCCGCATGAAGGTGGGTGGGGGAGGTGGGATGACGGAGGCCTGGGGCTCGGCCTCCCTGTGCTCCGGCTTCCTTCGAAGGGTGGCGGGCTCCTCGTCAGGGG